ATGCCTTTATTTATAGGTGTAAAGTGATTAAAAACGCTCAGTAAAAATGTGTGTTTCTTTGCACGGATGAGGAACAGCATGTCAGATTTGGCTCTTTACTGCCAAAACTGGTCGTAAATCTTTAAGGTGCAGCGGAACCTCAGGAGTACCAGAGGCCGACTGCACATTTCTTACCGGCTGTATTTGCTTTCTTCAATAAATTCAAAGTAGCCCCTTCCATGTTCATCTCGGCGTCTCTTTACGCCCTTCTTATTCTTCTGTTCATCATTCTTGTCTTTGTCCGCATCCCCTTTGGAAATAAAACAATAAAACATAAGGAGGCGTACCTCCCTGCTGGACCCATCATGATGTAGCATGACGGTCCACATAATTACTGGAGGATTTCTAGTTATTTCGCTTGTGCATAAATTGCAATGTAGTATTTTAAAAGAAAGGTGTATTTAATTATAAGTTCACCTGTTTTAGATAAAAGAGCAATGCCTTACAGTGTGGTTTGTACACTGCAGCACTTACAGTGGGTACAGAAATTATTCAGACCCCCTTAAATGTTTCACTCTTTGTTATATTGCAGCCATTTGCTAAAATCATTTAAGTGGTTTTTTTCCCTCATTAATGTACACACAGCACCCCATATTGACAGAAAAACACAGAATTGTTGACATTTTTGCAGATTTATTAAAAAAGAAAAACTGAAATATCACATGGTCCTAAGTATTCAGACCCTTTGCTGTGACACTCATATATTTAACTCAGGGGCTAATACTTTCCGTACCCACTGTATATGGGAACAAACAGAAGGTGGTTGCCAAGATATCAGCAAACTGTGCTATTTTGAGCTAAGTAACACACATTTTCAGATTCACATTGCATGCATCTTGAAGAAAGGTGTTACAGTGTGTGCAAATAATGAAGGTACATTTGGTGATGGGCAAAGCTCACAAGCACCTCATTCCCTATGTATGCAACTTGTGCTTGACAGAACAAAAATAATTCGAAAATTAAAAACAGGAATATGCAAACTGCCATACATCACTCACAAATCCATAATTTCTGAAGCAATTTTCGAGGTAAATATGGATAATAACTAGTCTTTTATAGGAATTCAGTATAATTGTCATTTAATGACAACATTGATTTAATGGTGGCACAGCTTTATGGTTACAGATCCAAGTTCAAACCCCTAAACCAACATTACCCCAAGGGGTGAAAGCATCTGCTAAAGGACGACAAAGAATAACAATGAGGTCCTCACTACTCCAAAACAAATGAACTGAGATCATTACACACAGACTCCATCTGGAGCTTTTGTCCTTCGTAGCTCCACTTCAGCATCCCGTTACAGTTCAGCGATCCTGAGAACCTACTGCTCAACCAATAAACGTACACTATTAAGGGTCATTCTCAGGAAACGGTCCTATTCGTGCCTGAACATTTCATTTTTACATCATTTGATTTGAATCAGTATCTGATGAAATGAAAAGAAAATGTTTTATGCAAATCATGACAGAACAAGACTAGTATGTTCTGAATGAGATTTTCTTGTTTATTTTTTATATACTGTATAACAAGCTTTTGTATCTACATGCTTTAAAAAAATAGTAGTAATAATATAGCTGACCATATAGAAGTAGATTTAGTCTTTTAATTTAAACTAACTTACATATGTACTGTATATGTACATATATATTATGCCAATAAATATGTAAATATTATATCAAAGTTTGAGACATAGTGCAAATAAATGATTAGTGATGAATAAAAATAAAATAGACACATTACATAAATAAAAAATAGGGATACATCAAAATAAATAAATTAAACATTTATTTATTTATACTGTATATGAATGAATGAATGCAACACTTTATAAAGTTAAGTCTATTCAATTAAAGTTAAAGGGACAAAAGTAGGACACCAGAGGCACCATCTCCTGGGAATGACATAAAATCCTGCAGATGTAGCAGATTATCTTGTTTAATTTTGATATATAACATCTACACAAGCTTGTCATCTTTCATTCATATGCCTAAAAACTAGAAATAGTATAGCTGACCATAAATATAGAAGTAGTAGATTTTAATTTGTAGCCAATAAATATTATATCAAAGTTTGAGATACAGATAAAAAATAAACTTTTAAAGATAAAAATGCACAAATACATTAAAATTATTAAAATATTATTTTTTGTCTTTATATTTATTTATTTATTTGTTTTTGTCTTTTGCATCAATTCAATCTATTAAATTATATGACTGTGATGTGAATACGTTTAGTATTCTGTTAACTGCATCAGTAGTAAGTCAAAGGAACACAAATGGGACACCAATGGCACCAGCTCCTGAGAATGCCATCAAATCCTGTGCTCTCTGCTGTCAGAATGAATTATTCTGGCAGAACCAATATACAAAATACGAATTGCACAAGCTTCATCACGTAATCTCACCCTCGCCAGGGCCCACGTCGAGAGCCACATCATCCTCATCAAATTTCTCCATCTCTTCATCATCTTCTTTGAGCAGGACATCTTCATCTTCATCTGATTTATCCATCTCTACCCCGGCGTCCTCCTCCTCCTCCTCCTCCTCCATGTCATCATCCTGCTGCTCCTCAGCCTCCGCATTATCGCCATCCTCCTCCATGTTCTCTCCAACCAGATCTTCCTCAAGGTCTTCATCGCCCATGTCACCGAGGCCGTCTCCATCCTCGTACTGTCCTTCAGAACCGTTGGTGGACAGCGCCTCCTGATCCAGAGCGGCCTGCAGCCGGGCCATCAGCTCAGCCTTCAGCCCTTTATCGCACAGACTCCTCTTCTTCAGCTCGTCCTTCAGCTCGTTTACTTTCAGCTTCTTCACATTCATTGAGCTCATCTCGCCGTTTCGATCCTTTACTTTAGATGTTATACCCCAAATGTATGAAATATGAACGGGAAGAGCAGGTTATGAGGCGCTCGATGCGGTCGCTGACGGGCAGCAGTCGGAGCAGGACGGGGCCAGTTGAGCCTTATATCCTCTACCGTAAAACACATAATACATGAGCAAACTACCGTAAATATCACTATAACTATTAAATATGCATAAGAGAAAATATCAGTATTCAGTTTCCGTCACTTTTAATATGTTCAGAAAACTATAATAAACAAATCTGAATACAGTACTGATAAAGCAAATAGTAAATATACCATAAATGAATGAAAATTTTATGAAAAAATAATAGCCTAATATATTATATAATAATAATATACAGGTGCATCACAATAAATTAGAATGTCGTGGAAAAGTTCCTTTATTTCAGTAATTCAACTCAAATTGTGAAACTCGTGTATTAAATAAATTCAGTGCACACAGACTGAAGTAGTTTAAGTCTTTGGTTCTTTTAATTGTGATGATTTTGGTTCACATTTAAGAAAAACCCACCAATTCATTATCTCAACAAATTACAATATGGTGACATGCCAATCAGCTAATCAACTCAAAACACCTGCGAAGGTTTCCTGAGCCTTCAAAATGGTCTCTCGGTTTGGTTCACTAGGCTACACAATCATGGGGAAGACTGCTGATCTGACAGTTGTCCAGAAGACAATCATTGACACCCTTCACAAGGAGGGTAAGCCACAAACATTCATTGCCAAAGAAGCTGGCTGTTCACAGAGTGCTGTATCCAAGCATGTTAACACAAAGTTGAGTGGAAGGAAAAAGTGTGGAAGAAAAAGATGAACAACCAACCGAGAGAACCGCAGCCTCATGAGGATTGTCAAGCAAAATCGATTCAAGAATTTGAGTGAACTTCACAAGGAATGGACTGAGGCTGGGGTCAAGGCATCAAAAATATTGCTTATTTAATATTGTAGTATCATTTTTTTCAATGCCCCAAACTCACAAAAAATATATTTTTTTACAGAGTATACATATCAGCATTGCCAGAGTGGGCCTACATCATTTTGCATAAATTGTAATTATTATGACTTTTTCTTAAAAGTTAGCTTAAATATGTATATACATTTTAGTGAAATTTGGTTTGCAAAACACTTACAAAACAATTGCAGTCACTTTTCATATGCACAGAAAATGCAGTAAATAAGTAAGTAAATAAATAAATACAGTAGCTAGCCTACAGATAAGGCACATACTATGCTAAATAAATCACTTATATAAAGTGTTTATTATAATATTAAATATTGCTATTGTAGTATCATTTTATTATTTAATGACACAAGAGTACATAAAAGCATATGTATATATATTAACATGCAGTATTAACAATATTACAATAAAAACAATGTTTTTTTTCTAAAAGGCTATATGCTATTCATATAAAACATTTTATGTTATAAAAGCATAATATTAAATATCAGTATATCCCTAATTTAATATTGTAGTATCATTATTTTATTGAATGCCACAAGAGCACATAAAAATAGTATATTAACATATCAACATTGCCAGAGAACTTCTTAAAGACTGACCTAGGTCCATATACAAACCCAATTCCAAAAAAGTTGGGACACTGTACAAATTGTGAGTAAAAAAGGAATGGAATAATTTACAAATCTCATAAACTTATATTTTATTCACAATAGAATATAGATAACATATCAAATGTTGAAAGTGAGACATTTTGAAATGTCATGCCAAATATTGGCTCATTTTGGATTTCATGAGAGCTACGTATATATATGATACATTTTAGAGAAATGTGGTTTTCAAAACAATTACAGTCAGTTTTCATGTGCACATAGAATGCAGTTAATAAATAAATGAATACAGTACAGGTGGCAAATAATAAACAAATATTTTCATTATTACTGTTTAGTAATACCTATTAAATATTGCTCATTTAATATTGTAGTATAGTTTTATTATTCAATGCCACAAGAGCGCATTTCGTTGTTGTTTTTTTCTTCTTTTTTTTAATAATAGCTACATTTTTGTAATAAAGTGTGAGAAATTTGTTTTTCAAAACTGCAACGTGAGTAACGACGTCACGAACAAATAATCACAAGACCAGTCAGTGACTCAGTGTTCACGTTACCTAGCAACCAGTGTTGCCCAGACATGGCGGACAAGTCCAACGCAGGTAATGTTGTTACTTTAAACTTTCTTTCCTTTCAAGCTTACGATATACATTGTAGCATTTGTACTCTTACGTGTTGTTTGTAGCTCAGTTGTCATTATTACAATTGCTATCCACTAAATGCTTTGTTTAAAGTATCGAATAAATAGCTAGCTAACGTTGTAAAGTAAAAGAGACAGCACAAGACTGCCAGTTGCTTGGAAAATAAAATATAATTAAAGTATAGTAAATTAAATACATAGGATACAGCATTAACTGAGACGTCTAAAATTAGACGTCTTTGTAAAATTTGCTGAAATACATAATTTTCTTTTTTTTCAGAATCTATTATAACCGAAACTCAAAAGAGGATAAGTAACGCATTTGAGGTGTTTGATCACGAATCCAACAAGACTGTTGATGTCAGGTAACATTTCAGAGTTTTCTTCAGATTTGCTCTCTGACACCTGTTTGTTTTCTACATGTGAGGGTGTCTTGTAAGTTTAACACTGATATTTTTCATTGTAAAAGAGAAATAGGCACCATTATCCGTTCACTTGGCTGTTTTCCATCGGAAGCGGAACTACATGATATCATTGCTGAGGTCTGTGGTTTGTTTTTACATTTGGCTCATTTAGATATTGACTCTTGCAGGCTGAGTAGATAAGAAATTATGATGTTTCTACAGCTTGAAGACGAAGAGCCCACTGGGTTTGTGCGCTATGAGAAGTTTCTTCCAACTATTACTAAAATCCTGCTGGAGCGCAAGTAAGACTGTCACTGAGAGTGAAGTGATTAGGGTCAATAGGTCAAATCACATTCATCTTGAGCTTTCTGCAAAATTACAAATAATCAGATATCCCTGCCAAAACAGATTGTTTTTAAGCTAACTGAGACTTGTTATAGCACATGTATATCATTGCTGTTTTGTTAGTTTTGATTGCTTCCATTGTCCTCATTTGTAAGTCGCTTTGGATAAAAGCGTCTGCTAAATGACTAAATGTAAGTGTCTTTCTATGTCTAAATGGTGTTGTCTAATATGGCCATTTTGTTATTTAAAATATAAATTATTAAAAAAATTACTTTCATGTCATCCAAGAGATTTCTGAGTTATACTTATGCAATTTTTTTCCTAACTTTTACAGATAGTGTTGTTATTGTTCCCTAAAATTACTAAAAATAGTTTTGGTAATTGAAATAAAGCTGAAACTAAAATAAGTATTAGAAGAAAAAGTGAACTTAAAAAAAACTTAAATGAGAAAAGTTGCCTTGGCAACTAAATAAAATAAATAATAATATAAAATATAGTGAAGTGACATGTGGCCAAGTATGGTGACCCATACTCAGAATTAGTGCTCTGCATTTAACCCATCCAAAGTGCACACACACGTGAACACAGCCATCTATGCTGCGGCACCCGGGGAGCAGTTGGGGATTCGGTGCCTTGCTCAAGGGCACCTCAGTCGTGGTATTGAAGGTGGAAGAGAGCGCTGTACATTCACTCCCCCCCCCTACAATCCCTGCCGGTACGAGACTCGAACCCGCAACCTTTGGGTTACAAGTCCGACTCTCTAACCGTTAGGCCACGACTTCCCCAAAAGCTACAGGATGTTTCTGCCCGGTTTCAAACCGGGGACCTTTCGCGTGTAATATATATATATATATATATATATACAGTGGGGAAAAAAAGTATATAGTCAGCCACCAATTGTGCAAGTTCTCCCACTTAAAAAGATGAGAGAGGCCTGTAATTTTCATCATAGGTATACCTCAACTATGAGAGACAAAATGAGAAAAAAAACCTACAATGTGATTTTCTGGATTTTTTTTCTCATTTTGTCTCTCATAGTTGAGGTATACCTATGATGAAAATTACAGGCCTCTCTCATCTTTTTAAGTGGGAGAACTTGCACAATTGGTGGCTGACTAAATACTTTTTTGCCCCACTGTATATATATATTATAACATTAATAAAAATGTGCAAATGCACATTCAAAATACTAAAACGTAAAATTAATTTAAAACAAAAACATAAAAAATAAAAGTTAATTCAAAATATTAGAAATCATTTATATAAAAATAATTCTAAAATAACACTGGCCACCACCAACACTGGAAACTATTATTTCCAATTGTACACCTGAAAACATGCCCAAAAAATATGCTTAAAAAAATTCAATTAAGTGTTTTAAACGGTGAAACATAGATGAACCACTTTACACATTTTTGATCGAAAAGTCCAGTATTGGTGACAGTTTTAGCTCTGCTTCCGTTTTATTGCAGGTTTCGTCCTATTACAGAAGACCTGCTCCTTCAGGCCTTTGAGGTGCCTAATGCTCTGACACTTAAACATTTTTGTTATTCTTCTTTTGTTGTTTGAATTTACCTTGGATACACTACAGAGAAAAAAAAAACCTTCAAAAACCTTAAACTGGATATAAAAATGAAGACCTCAATGGAATGAATTAATGTAATGGTGCTGTTATCTCTCTTTAAAGGTGTTAGATCAACAGAAAAAAGGCCACTTGGAACCAGAGGAACTCACCAAGTATTTAACACAAGAAGGTATGTCAATTATGACTATTGAAAATAGTCGTTTGTATTTTAGTATAGGCTTCTGACATTTTGAAATCGATGTGCAATGCGATGTGCAAAAGTTTTTCATTTCTCTGTCTTCTGAAGGAGAGCCCTTCACACAGGAAGAGATAGATGAAATGCTGTCTGCAGCTGTTGATCCTGATAAAAATGTCATTCTCTACAAGGACTTTGTGAGCATGATGACCTTTGATGACACTCGATGATGGCTGATGGCATGAATAGATCAAATGAATAAGTAGTTTTATAGGTTAGGATCAAGGTATCATAAACAAAATCATCTCAGTTACCATAATAAATAATATACTGCACATGTTATTTTGACTCTTTACCCATGGTATACATCATTAATGGTGTTCATAATGCCCAAATACTCTTTCCTTATTGTATAGTTTGGCAAAATTACACAATATGATATTTTACTCTATTCATAATTATTCAAATAGGCTTTAAAGTGGAGAATGTGTGCAAGACTGAGAGGGTGTATCATGGACTGATGATCATTCTCCCTATTAATGAAGCAGGTTTAGCTTCATTATAAAGTCAGTGTGTGGTGTCTTTCTTCTTTCAGTTTCATTAGCAGACTCTGATACCACAGGTTTTATGAAGGGGTGGCATATTCTTGCAGCTCATTTTTTTCTAATTAACCTGTGTCCCATGAGTTGCCCTCTGTGAACTGACCAGAGAAGCAGTTCTCTGATGAAGAAAAAAAAGAACTGATCACTGATACAATGTAATTGTATTACAATTGAACATTATAGTTCGAAAAAAAAATTCTGGGCGTACTTTATCAGTATACCTTACACAACAATGAAATGCATTACTCTCAGAGAATAGTGTGAAACTAAATATATTGAGTAATCTGTAATTTGAGAAACCCCAAATAGTGCATGAGGTATTGTGTACAATATTGTAAAAACTGGAAAAGGCTACAATAACCATCTCAGGCTTTCCTGTTTATATATACTTTTTTATGTATCATAAAGTAAAGGTGAAGATTCAGTGGTTCAAGGATAGATTAACAAATAATCTGGACAATGCTGAGTTTTTAGGTTTATGACAGTTTCCTCTTTGTTTATGCTAAGGTTATATAGGTATGTGTATCTTTATCTTAAGAATGTACGATAAAGCAGTACTGTTTCATTTGACTAAAAACTGATGGTCGTTTGCTAATTTCTTACTGTTGAGAGTCTCAAAGCGGTGTGTTATGGTTAGGAGTGTTTAATTTAGGTGTGTGAGCAGTAGGTGGCGCTACTTTCCCATGCTTACAAAATGTCCCTTCAAATTCCTACTAACAATACAGCCAAAACAATACTGCCCATTTGTTTTCATGCCAATTCAACAGCGTTTGGTCAATTAAGAAATACTGCCAAATATTGCAAAATGATATTGCAAATGTTTGTTGTTGGTTTCATAATAAGTGTATATACTTGGTTCAAATGACATGTTTGCAGGCAGTGTAAGCAGTTGAAGATTTTTGAGCATTTGACCTGGAACACTATAATATTTTAATATCATGATCAGTGTTGGGGGTAATATATTACAAGTAACGCAAGTTACGTAATCAGATTACTTTTTTCAAGTAACTAGAAAAGTAACGCATTGCTTTTGAGAATATCTGAGTAACTTTTTCAAATAAGTAAAGCAAGTTACTTTTTTTTTCCAATTTCTTGACTGACAGCTCTCCTGTCCCCATGTTGAGAGAAATCAGAAGATGTTACTGTAGTTCTAAAATAAATATGAATATGCATTAATTAAAAAAAAAAACAGATTCAGTATTCCTCAAAATGAATAAAAATAATGCAACTCAGACTAAAACCTGCAATAATTAAATGTTAAACAACACAAATATTCTTTATGTATTTAATCCCATTCTATTAACCGATGTCTTTGCTTCTGACCTTCGATGATCCAGTTCAACCGTACTAATAAGCACAAATTACTCTAGACAAACATTTGTGTCTTTGTTTATTGCTGAAGTGTTGAAATTTCTTCTTCTGCATTCTACTGTACGGACATGAATTTACTTTTCCTTCAGCCTGAGGCTTATTCATTTCACTTTTGGTGTGAAAAGACTTTTATATTTGCCAAAAATATAACTTTTTTATTTTAAAAACAAACAAGCAAGCCCTGTCCAGATTTAAAAAGTAACGTAATGCATTACTTTCCATAGAAAGTAACTAAGTACCGTAATTAGTTACTTTTTTTATGGCGTAATGCAATATTGTAATGCATTACTTTTAAAAGTAACTTTCCCCAACACTGATCATAATATTATTTAAAAAAAATAATATTATACCGTTTTAAATAGATTTGCTTTTTTTTATATTGCTAATATTATGCTCCAAATCGTATTGAATTTTTGATTGATTCGCGTTCGTTGATTCTTAAATGGTGTTAAAAAAATGTGTGTGTGTGTATTTTTACATTTATGTAGATTATACACGTTTTTGAGTAACCACATAAGTTAGATTAGGCTAATGGTGTCATTATTATTTATTATAAATCTGCACATATAAATAAAAATACGTAGATAAACATATAGTTGATATTTGGTTCAATACCATTTTTGTTGCGCGAGACGAACTGCTAACAGAACAACACTGATAGAATTTCCGAAAGTCAAAATTGACTTTTAATAAAGAAACTAGTAGTTTAGTTTAGCGTGTGGACAACAGTACACTCCCACATGTCAATCAGTAGATCTCGGACATGCTATTCGCTGAGAGGCGCGGATGGGGCGTGGCCAGTCTACCCAGAGACAGATGTGTGCGCTCCTCTGGAGTGAGAGCAGCGCAGAGATCAGTCCTCCAACAACCTGATCTACTGTCAGACTGCGCTTCACACAAGTCCATATGCATGGGAAAATGCTCCTGTGCTGGGATGCTGTGAAATCTAAAGCACTGCACATGGATTCAGCATAGCAGAGAGCATAAGAAAGAACTGGATTATCCACTGTTGGACATTTCAGATTGGACCATCTGTTATTCATATTCCACTGTGGAAGATGGATAGATTTCTGCATGGTACTAGTCGCTGAGACTGGACTTCAGTAGGGCTACTGAACTGGCCAGAGATTGATTTTTGGATCTTTTAGTTGTGGATGTAACAAGGAGCACAGTTATTTAATCAGTCCCTCTCTATCAGGCTTTATCATGACCTCTCTAACAGGGAATAAAGAAAGATCTGGGACCAGGAGTAGAAAATATGGGGTAAGATTTATTATGTTTATTATAGCTATTTTATGTAAAGTTATGTGCATATTCAGGGCAATAAATGATCTTCTTGTGAAGAAAATCAACAATCTAATTCAATGTCAAACTCAATATGCAAAATAATAAACCACTTTGCACACTTTTTTTCACATTTACCATATCTGTAACCCAGACATTAATGTTTCAATCACTGCTTTTCATCCGCAACTATCATTTCTTGCAGATGACCGATTCATCCCCTACGAAGTCAGCATCATTCTCTCCTGAAACCTGGTACCGAAAGGCTTATGAGGAGTCTCGGAGCGCCAGTCGCCCGGTCCCTGAAGGTGCGGGCTCCATGCCCGGGTCCTCTGGAACCCCGTCCCCCGGATCAGGAATATCATCCCCGGGCTCTTTCTCCGGCTCACCTGTTACGATATCTCCTGGAATCAGCACCGGTTCACCCGGTTCTTTAGGCGGATCTCCAGGGTTCGGCACTGGTTCTCCAGCCTCGGGTAGCGGGAGCTCACCTGGTTCTGATCGGGGCATCTGGTGCGAGAACTGCAACGCACGGCTGGTGGAGCTGAAGAGACAGGCATTACAACTACTCATTCCCGGACCCTACTCTAGCAAGGTAGGCTGATGTCACATGCATATTCTGTATTCAGTTTTTGACATGGAAATGCGTCATGCAGATACAAATGACATCGGATATTCATGCTGAAGTGTGATACATTAACTCCAGTGTTGCAGTGCGTATTTTGGACATAATCTTGGAGTAACCAAGAAATGTACAACGTGAAGATTTCAAACTAGAATTAAATTTGATTTTGTCGTGCACTGCTATTTATCGACTAATTCCCTTCTTTTATCATAGTTTGGCTGTTCTCACTAGCAAAACAAATCACAGCTTACAAAATAAACAATCAAATAAATAAAGAGAAAGAAAAAATAGCAGTTTGCATGAAACTGTGTTTGAAAACACACAGAAGTGTTGCACATAAGGGGCGAAGTGCTGAACATACACGGCACTGCGGCGTGTTGCTGATCCACTATCTGATCCAGTGCGCGTCCAGGAGACTGAGATCATGATGAAACTGGCCAAAGGGGGCGAAATTAATTGCTGACTAACAGCTTTTTCCTTTGATTTAAGAAGTCTGTTAAGTGAAACAGACTGTAAAGAAACACGCCATACCATGCTGTGGCTTTGGTGGCGAGCGTGAGTGCTGAGAGAAGCGCATTTATGATTAACTACCCCTTTTGATTAGTTAATCGGTTTTGGCTGAGGTAGTACTGCACCAGAACTTGGTGTGGATTCCACAAGAGCTCAAATCATAAGCACAAAGTATATATATATAGGTAAATATGCAGTGCGTAATTGGATGCATGTGTGCGTAAATATCAAGTTTCGCCGTGTGCTCATTTCATTTTCAGCGTCTAATACCGGGAGCTTTGTAGCCTATAAGCAGATCATCAGTATGATTTACACCTAGACAGAAATGGTTTACAGTCAAACCCTATCTTTTGAAATTATTGATCAGTGTTTTTTTTGTTGTTTTTTTGGAAACCAAAGCACAGTTTGCCCAATTCAATAATTATCCATTAAGAAGAACAGGGGGCGCTGTGCTGTCACAAACAAACTCCTCTGCTTGTGTTAAGATGTTAAGAACTATATAACGTGATCACAGTTGCAACATTTGCAAGCATATGGCATCTATTATGTTCTTCATTTCAATAATTGCACCGTTTATCCTTTAAAAAAAAAAAAAAAAAAAAAGTCTGGCCCTCACTAGTCCAAAACATTGCATCTGCATTTAGATCTCCTTATCATGGGCAGTGTCTAAGATGATGTCATAAATCTGTGTGTGTGTGTATAATATAACTATTATTACTAAAAGTAGTATTTTGCTGTTTTTTAAGAGCACCATTGATCTGATGTGCCCGTGGCTCGTGTTTCAGACCTGCTGTTGGTCTCCAGATTTTATGGCCAGTTCTGCCAGCTGCAAGTGACCTGCAGGTGCCCATTAAAATGAGCTGGAGGTGGAGGGGCTGATGGAAAGGAGAGGGGATCACTGGAGAGGTGGCCATGAGAGCGCTCTTTAAGCCGGAGGCAATTTTAAAGGAGATGTAACTGTTTGGGCAAGTGTTTGGGCTTTTCTCTGCAGGATCTTCACCGACATGATGATTAGTGAGCAGTGTTGTGACATGAACCGAAGGGAAAAGCCTCATTCTGGTATACGATCCATCTGGAGATCTTGCAGTATGCTGCGTTCCATTGCACTCTGGAAGTAAAATTTTCTAATTTCCTCCTAAAAAAGTGCAATAGAATAGAGGGAAGTGATGAACATTGACTTATAAAACTCAAATAAATTAAAAGTTCCTACATTGTTTGATGGCAAAAACTTAAATGTTTAGCAAGATCTGCAGAGTCAAGTGTTTAAAACATAGTAAATTATGCTCCTTTGATAATCTTTTACATGCAGAATAAATGCTATTACTCTTTAAAATAAAGGTTCTTTATTGGCATCTTTGGTTCCAGAAGAACCTTTAACATCCACGGAAACTTTCCACTTCATAAAAAACACAGTGATGCCATAGAAGAACCATTTTGGTTTCCCCAAAGAACCTTGAACCATAGATGCCAATAAAGAACCATTATTTTTATGAATGAAGGTTTGTTATTATGGAAAATGATCCTTCAGATTATTAAAATATTCTTTCCAGAACCCAAAATGGTTCTTCTATTGACATTTGAACACCAACAAAGCTTACCCGTCATCTTCCAAGTAGTTCCTGAAGTAGGAATATAACTGTGAATGGAACGCAGAATACTGGAACAGTAGTAGCCTACAGCTCATAGAACTTGTGCTGTGGGACTTGCTGTGTTGTGAACGTCCCCTGAGGTTTCGTCTTTAGATTACACCCGCTAAACAGAAGCATGTTCATTTCAATCCCATGCGCACACACAGCTCCCATTTCCAACAGAGCACTGTTGCCACGGCAGCAACACGTGATGGGCGTGAGCTTCATACATATTACACGTTTAATGCTCTTTTTATGCCTCTCAGGTGAGCAAGGCATTATCATATAAAGAGGTCGCTTTTTCAGTACAGACTGGTAGGAATAAACGGGAAGGGGTTGCTGACGTCGGCTCAATCCAGCAGGCGTTCTACTGTAAATGACACTCCCTCCTGTCCAGCGGGAGGCTTTGTCTTGATGCCGGGGTGTAATGGTGTCACTAGGGCAGAAATGTAAACAGCTCAGCAATGGGAGAACTGAATATGCATGTCTCTGTAGGATTTGGTGTGCTCATTTGGGACAGATTACTTCTTGTTGGAAATGACTGTGAATAATATATGGTGGCTTTATAGACTGTGACCTGATAGCTTCTTACGACAATGGAGGATTGTTGACAACTATTGTAAGTCAAAGCTGTTTATAGGTTGAAACTTAGATTCACAACAACATGGTCCAGTGCTTTATGAACTGTTAATTTCAGTTTTTTACAACTGAAGGTCTCACAGCAGGTAATGGTTAGTCTTAAAGGGGTCATATGATGCAATTTACATTTTTCCTTTTTCTTTGGAGTATAACAAGCTCTTGGTGCATAAAGAAGATCTGTAAAGTTGCAAAGACTGAAGTCTCAAATCCAAAGAAATATTCTTTATAAAAGTTCAGAGTCAGCCACACCTACCTAAAACGGCTCGTTCTAACACGCCCCCACATATCTACCTCACACGGCATCAACATTATGGTGAGGGGCGTAACATTTCCATCTCACACTTGAGGTATTCGGCCAATCACAACGCACTGGATAGCTGGCCAATCACAGCACACCTCGCTTTTTCAGACCGATGAGCTTTGTAAAAATCTACGCGTTTCAAAAAGGCAGGGCATAGAGGAGAAACAATAATGTACAGTATGTGGAAAATAATGTGTTTTTTGAACTTTAAACCGCATAAACACATTTCATTATACCAAACACACAAAATAATGTTCTTTTTAGCAGCATCATATGACCCCTTTAACAACCTGCTCTTTTCATAGGTATGACATGTTGAAAGATTTATTTTCAGGGTGTGCTTGCTGTATTTTAGCTCAAAGCTTTTGTAGGGCTTTGAATTCAGTGGGTTTTGCTTCTTTTGTACAAGTATCCCAGAAGGCCACCAAAGTTATAAGATGTTGATATTTGGTTAAATATAGGTTCTGATTGTGCGTGCCCAAAATTCAGTACCAGGACAATGTATAATGTAAATGTTTATTTGACGTGGATATTTTGTTGGTTTTCAGTCGTGGCAGTAGCCAAAATTCAGTAACCAAAATCATATTGACATCAGACATTGACATTTAGTAACAAGGTATGGTAATCAAAACCCAATGTCTACCAAAATAAATTAGCATCCACACAATGTCAAATTATAAAATCTTTAGATGTTGATATTTCGTTAGTTTTAATCATTGTATCAAGTAACCAAAATTCAACGTCAGTCTAAAGCTGGAGCTTGATCTAAAGACAAAGACATCAACTCAATGAATTTCCAACCAAAAATTAACTGCCAAACATTGGAGCTTGATGTCTTTCTGATCGTTACATTGACATCCAGTGCCAGCTCACTTAGACTATAAATACTTTAAGACATTTATTCACATACGATGAGGGTAATGAGAAATGTTTGAGTTTACATTTTGATTGCAGGCTTGGTGTCTTGGTAAATTTCAGCACAGTTTGGGGAATATTATTGTGATTTTGTTGTGTGTGTGTGTGTGTGTGTGTGTGCGTAATACAACACTTTCTCAGATAATAATTATATCAGTATGATGTCGAACAGCATCCATGACACATAAAAACTAGTTTCACAGTGCCAAATGCAGCAGATGTCTAAACCCACTGTAGATTTTGCGGAGTGGGTGGTTTGTTTTTTTTAGTGGAACTCAAAACTGTATTTCAAGAGTCCAGTCAGGTTGCTGCTGTACCCCGTAATCACTGCCAGCACATCCTCCAAAGCATGAAGGCCTGTAATCCACCCCAGAACCAAGTCAGAGAAAACATCAGGTTCTTCCCCTTGAACATGGGTGAGCGATCTCACAGGGATTAGCTGGACCGAGCCAGATCGAAGTTCTCCATGATCAAAGCAGTACTGCCTTGAAGGAGGATACCGCCTGGTCCGGTAGAGCCGTGATTTTTAGGCAGCGATCAGCATAGCTGGTTTACATTAGACACTCGAGACTTTGTCATTGTGTGAAAATAGTATGAAAGATTTCGACAGACTTGTGTAATGCATCTCTGGAGACTGGATGGTTTTATGTGTTGAATGTGTATGTTTCAGCCTACAGCTGGAGTTCTGAGTATGGGTTTTGTGCTCTCAAGGAAAGCATTGCAACTATGCACACAGTTTTATTAACCACTACCCAGTAAAACTCACTAGATACATGTGAAGAATTTGCAATGGAAGTGTTGCAAATTGCATATTGTGTTTTCATTGTGAATGCATTTTATTTGTTTGTTTAGTGGCCTTTTAAACATTGAATTGCCACTTTATTTTTCAAAGCTTTTTAGATGCAGTTATTTACTATGACATTTTTGACTAAATGTCATGTCATGTCCTTTGAGCTCAGCTGATTTAAAAAGGATGA